TGGGAGAATTATATTGACATGGTGTCGATAAAATATATTTTCCAACAAAAAATATTATAAATATTAGTAATTAATATTATAAATATTTTTATTAATTTATAATTTTTTTCCTCTAACAACATTGTAAAGTAATTATCCTAACAAAAATTAAGTTTCATACAAAATGACTAATTTAAATATCCGTATTGGGCATGACATTGATGTTAATAATATTTGCAGGGGGGTTCAAGGTTAGAGGGGTGATTAGAGAGGCAAAACTATGTTAATGGTCCAATAGTGGTGGAAATGGTTGGAGCATGAGTAGCAGCAACTATCTGGGAGTTGGAGAGTGTGTAGTTGGGTAAGGGTGAAGCAAGTGGCTCAAAGAGAAATGTATGGCAGTACCAAAATGGGCAGCATCTCCCCCAAATCCACAAAATTTCTCTTTTGAACCTTGGGAAATGGGTCCTCTTCATAGGCTTTTCCTTGGTACCAAGAGGACACCAAGTGGCCAAACAGTAAGAGGACATGTGTCCCAGAGGATCACACTGAATATTTTGCGTTGAGCCACCAGGTTGAAGGTGCCACGTGTCCCTCTGCATGTACTGTGTACTATCTATTTGCCTCTACAACTACCTTTTTGAGCCTTAGCAAGTGCAGTTACAGCGGGAGTGTTTGCCTCTGCACTTGCCTTCTCAACTTGAACCTTAGTAAGTGCACTTACAGCGGTGAACCTTGCTGCTACACTTGGCATCTTAGTTCTATTTGGTCAGTAAAGGCATTCTAAGGACTCTATTAGTCCACTATAGACTATGTTCGTGCTCACCTCAACGAAGCCTCCACCGTTAGCCACCTCATCACAAACTCCCTAGCTTCCTAGGGCGAAGGCCACAACTAAGCATCCTATCAGCCATGTTGTGCCTTAGTACCGAGCCTAGGGGGGTTTCCTTAGTCCTTCTTGTGTAACTAAGGCAGGTCCACAACCTAAGTAATGGAAATGGAGTCCCTTATGCTTGGGCTACCTTGCTCGAGGAGATAAGGACGATCAACTCCAAACCAATCAGGACGCGCCACCTGTCTTCCTCATCCTTCTCTTATTACCTTTTATTTTCTATATAAGGGATGCCTCACCCTTGTTGATGGCACGAGTTATAAGAAATATAATATCAGTTTGAAGTGTGCTCTCTCCCTCTCTCTCTTTTCAAAGAGTGTGTACTCCTCTTTTCCCTTTGAAGTATAATAAAAGCCTGAAGTGCTTGTTGTAAGTATTTTATTTCATCTTTTTTAATGTATGAGTTCTATTGATATACTTGTTATCTTGCATGAAATTTTAGATTTTCATATTCAAAGAAAAAATAATTATTTAAATTTTCTTACTACATTCCCTAATGACCCCTGGGCTATCCGGCAATTAGAATACAGTAACAAAACAGATAGAAAAAACACAATCTCAAATACAGGAACAGATAATTGCGTGGGCGGTCGCCGGAAGGCCTTCAGCACCTATACAGTAAAATCATGAGGCCATATATGGCATAATTAAGAAAAAATAAAATAAAACTATGGACAGTAGTCTTCCTCGGTTTGTGCTGATTGAGGGTAGAACAGTGTAAGGTTGAGTGGGACGTCACCCAAGTCAAGTATAGTCAGACCATTAGCAGTGATTGCGGTTAGGTCATTTGATCTCGTAAGTTGTTGACAGACATGCTTAGCTAAACCCTATGTCAAGCACCGCAATTATTGGTATCAGAGCCAAGTTCAATTTTGGTCATAGTTTGTTTTATTGAATTTTAAATATACATATATGGTCACATACAATCATACATGAGTATTGTACCTTCAGAAGACATAGCCAATACAGTATACAATACAATAGCTAATACAAGAGCTTCTACATCAGAAGTCAGAGAGCTTGTAGCTTACCAGGATGTTAAGGAAGCCCTAGATAAGTGGACTATCCCAAAGGTCAAACTAGATACTATCTATAAGATAGGAACCTTTGACTTTTCTAGTAGAAAAATAATCAAAACCTTTGAACAGGCAGTATCTATCCAGCATGAGGATGAGATCATGTATCTCCTCCATATACTAGATCTCTATCCTTTTTTCCAGAAATATAAGTATGTCCACATAGGACTTGTCCAAATAGCCTTTAACCCTTTGACTCTATTAGGTCAAAATACCAGTATCCAGTGTACTCTTCGAGATGGCCAATGTCTCGATTGGAGAGCATCACTTATGGGAGCTATAGAAACTAGCCTCTCACATGGTCCAGTCTATTTCAACATACATCCAAACCTTAGTATAGCACTTACAAATGCTAATATGTCCAAAGTCTTAGAACTCATAGTGTTATCCAATGGTTATGAATATCTTCTAGGATCTCCACCCTTTGCGGTAATTTCCAGAATTTATCTTAAAGTTTTAACAACTTTAAATTTATATCAGAAAATAGAGTGAGTTAGGATATACACATTGCGTTTTCACAAAGGCGAGTCAGGTTTGAATCCTGGGAGGCACGATCTCTGTCACACCCTAACTTGCCCCTAAAAGTTTGGGCATGACCTGAACAGAAGAGGACACTTAACCTGATTCCATAGAGGGGCCTGCCCAGAAGCTATAAAACATAATTGATAAAAACCAGAAAGTATGACATCCATTGAGCTACTAAGTCATGCCAGGATCAAAACATTACACAGGACAAGTACATCAAAGCCAAAATACATTTAAGAGTTAGTTATTTATAGACATATACAGGACTAACCCCGAGATGGGGTATGTAACAAAATCATTAAGTACATATCAACATAAGCCAACAACAAAAGTGTGAGTCATCATCTAACGACTCCACAGAAGTAGGGTCCCGACTCCAAGCTTGGCTGTGCCTAGGCTGACAAAAGTATGACGATGCCGAGCTAAGATCGACCTCCTGGTTGATTACCTACAAAACAGACATATCATAGGGTGAGCCAAGCTCAGTGAATAATAGTACTAGTATGCTCGTAAACATATTTAATGCTGGAATCATGCAATTAGTCTGTCTCTGTACGGCTTGTTGGAACAACATAATTGGTTTATAATTATCATAATGTGGCCCCTGGCCTAAGAACTTCACACATTCGGAAAGAGTCCTTGGGTTCACAATTTACAATTCATCGTATAAACCTTTGGTTCTGTTTAATTCATAAGCTCACAATAGTGTCATTCATATTCCACACATCGGCCCTTGGCCTCATAATTTCATTGTACACAAATGGCCCTTGGCCACATTGGTTCACAATTCACAATTGACCCTTGGTCACGTAGTTTCACATTAGGGCTCTTAGCCACATTGACTCACAAATGGCACTAAGCCACATTGGTTCACAAATGGTTCTAAGCCACATTGATTCACAAATGGCACTAAGCCACATTGATTCACAAATGGCACTAAGCCACATTGGTTCACAAATTCATAATTGCCATGATACATTCCATTAGTCACAAGCTTTCATAGAAAATGTATTCGTCTTCACAACCTTTTCAATGTCTTCATAATTTCGTATCGAATCATGTATAGCAAATATATCATCTCATGCAAATCATTTCATGCCATCACAAGTTTAATAGTAATATTCGTAACGTTAAGATATAACCTCAATATATATTACGATAATACTTTCTACAATCACAACGTCATTAATAATAAATATTGAGTAGGGATACATTGGAGTACTATTACTCACTGTGTTGTGGCGGTGCACTTCCTTTTGAGGTGTTTCCTACACACATGAACACATGAAAGATCACATTAGTCCTTTTTTTCCTTGTTAACCCAACATTCGGTTCACCTACTTTGATTAAATTAACGAACATTCAAACAACATAAATTACAGAATTGGACAACATTAGAGGACCCAACACGCAAAACGGAGCATCCCAACTTTTCTGCCCTGAGCCGCACGTGCGGCTAGGATCTCCCGCACGTGCGGCACACCTCCCGCACGTGCGGCATTGAGGCCCCGCACGTGCTTTTTTTGCAGTGTTGAAGCCCAGAATTTTGCCATTTTCCCGCACGTGCGGCAGTGACTCCCGCACGTGCGGCTGAGGTTCCCGCACGTGCGGCCTTAGGCCCCGCACGTGCGGCGATTCTGCACCAAAAGCCCGAAATTCTGCACAATTTTCTTCTTCTTATAGACATGTTTAGGGCCTCAAAAAATCTAGCTTTAAATTACCAATATATAAGCTCAAAGCATGTAAATACATGTGAACAAGGATCAAATTACATCTTTCATTTGAGTAAACAAAATCAAATCATGAATCCACAACTCTAATTACTCCAATTCACAAGATCCCTACTTGTTCTCACATCACAACTCTTAGGTATATAATTATAAAAACATCTTCACATAAATTATGACAAGAAAGGGTTGTGGATGAAAATTAGACAAACATTTACATACCTTAGCCCAAATCTCAACCTTCTTGATGATCTTCTCTCTCTACCCCTTCAATTCCTAAGCTTAGAGTTATGTTTCCTTAGCTTATCAAATGCCCATGAACACTCATATATGTCCATAAAGAGAGAATGAGACAAAAATCAATCGTTTACATATCCGAAAATTGAAATTTCACAGAAGTGCTTAATATTACCTAAAAATCATGTTGGTTGCAAGTATGTGAACAATTCTGATTTATTAAGCTGCTAAGGCCCCCAATTTCTACTTTATCGTTCTAGTAATAACAGATACATTTCTTTTCTAACAGATACAATTCATTTCATAAGACATTACAACATAGTTACTTGCCCTTATTCCCTTGTACAGCTTCATCTTAGTCATTTAATAGCAGAGAATAAAGGACTAACATACAGCACAAGCACATATGAGGGTCAGGTCGTTACACTCTCCCCCCCTAAAAAAAAAGTTTGGTCCCTCAAACTTGCTTTTACCTCAAAACGGAAACAGATATGGATACTGTTGCTGTATGTCCTCCTCTTTTTCCCAAGTAGCTTCAGTGCCATAATGTTCTTGCCATTCTACCTTTACCATTGGAATTTCCTGATTGCGCAATTGCTTTACTTGTCGCTCCAAAATTTGACGTGGTCTTTCTTCATAGCTTAACTTATCATCCAGCACAAGTTGGTGGTAGTCTATGACATGAGATGGATCTGGTAGGTATCCTCGAAGCATAGAAACATGGAATACATTATGTATTTGACTCATACTCGGCGGTAGAGCCACTCGGTAAGCTACCAAACCCACTCTTTCTAGAATTTGGAAAGGGCCAACATACCGGGGCGTTAATTTTCCCTTTTTCCCAAATCTCGGATGTCCCTTTAACGGAGTGACTTTCACGAACACATAACTACCCACTTCAAACTCCAAATCCCTCCGTCTGTTATCTGCATAACTCTTTTGCCTGCTTTGCGCCGTTTTTAACCTCTCCCGGATAATTTTAACCTTTTCAGTTGTTAATTGCACAATTTCAGGACCCAACAATGCCCTGTCCCCGACTTCAGCCCAGCATACAGGGGAACGACATGGTCTTCCATACAGAGCTTCATAAGGTGCCATTTCGATGCTCGAATGGTAACTGTTATTGTAGGCGAACTCTATCAACGGTAGATGGGTTTCCCAGCTTTCTTGAAAATCCAATACACACAGTCGGAGCATATCTTCTAAAGTTTGTATGGTTCTCTCGGATTGACCGTCAGTTTGAGGGTGAAAGGCGGTGCTGAACGTAAGTTCGGTACCCATAGCCTCCTGTAAACTTTGCCAAAATCTTGAAACAAATTTGGGGTCCCTATCTGACACAATTGACACTGGTACACCATGAAGCCTTACAATTTCATTTATATACAGTACTGCCAGCTTATCCGCATTGTGTTGAGTCTTCACTGGCAAGAAGTGAGCAGACTTGGCTAATCGGTCCACAATGACCCAAATCGAATTCATACCTCGAGGAGTCCTCGGTAACCCCACAACAAAATCCATGGTCAAATGCTCCCATTTCCATTCCGGGATGGGAAGGGGTTGTAGTAATCCTGCTGGTCTTTGATGTTCCGCCTTGACTTGTTGACATTGCAGACACTTAGAAACAAATTCCGCGATCTCCTTTTTCATGTTTGGCCACCAAAAATTTTGTTTTAAGTCCCGGTACATTTTAGTACTTCCCGGGTGTATTGATGATCTCGAAGCATGTGCTTCTCCTAACAACTTCTGCTTAAGCTCCAACACATTAAGGACACATATTCGACTTTGAAACTTTAGTACCGAATCTACATAACTGAATCCCGCTTTTGGTTTTGCCTCTAACTCTTCATAGATTTTCTTTAAGGTTTCATCTTCTAGTTGATGTAACTTAATCTCTTCCAGTAAGGTGGGCTGAGCTCTTACTGTTGCTAGTACGGCCTCCTGTTCACGTACCACCAGGTCCATATTCATTTTATCCAGTTCGTTCCTCCACTCCTTTCTTTCTATCAACAGATTGGCCAAGTCCCCCATATTCTTCCGACTAAGTGCATCTGCCACCTTGTTGGCATTACCTGGATGATATTGAATCTGCAAGTCATAATCCTTGATCAACTCGAGCCATCGCCGTTGGCGCATGTTCAACTCTTTCTGGGTAAACAGGTACTTGAGGCTTTTATGATCAGTATAAACTTCGCAGGTTGTACCATAAAGATAGTGCCGCCATATTTTCAAAGCAAAAACTACTGCCGCTAATTCGAGATCGTGTGTGGGATAATTCTTCTCGTGGGGTTTTAGTTGCCGAGAAGCATAGACAATAACCCTTCCATTTTGCATTAGCACACAACCAAGCCCCTTGTGCGAAGCATCACTGTAAATTACGAATCCCTCGGTACCAGATGGCAAAGCCAGAACTGGTGCTGTCGTCAATCTTGTTTTTAATTCTTGGAAAGCGGATTCCCGTTCCTCTGACCATTCGAACGCAACTCCCTTTCGTGTCAGTTGGGTAAGCGGCACAGCGATTTTGGAGAAATTTTGAACAAACCTCCTATAATATCCAGCTAATCCCATGAAACTTCGTACCTCAGTTACATTAGTTGGAGTTGGCCAATTCACAATTGCTTCAACTTTGTATGGATCAACAGAGACTCCTTCCTTTGTCACCACATGCCCCAAAAATGCCACTTCTTGTAGCTAGAATTCACATTTCTTCAATTTTGCATACAGTTTCTTCTCCCGGAGTGTTTGAAGAATTAAGCGAAGATGATCCTCATGAGCTTCTGCACTCTTCGAGTATATAAGAATGTCATCGATAAAAACCACCACAAATTCGTCTAGATAGGGCTTGAAGACGCGATTCATTAGATCCATAAATGCTGCTGGTGCGTTTGTAACACCGAAGGGCATAACCAAAATTTCATAATGGCCGTACCGGGTTCGAAAAGCTGTCTTCTCCACATCATCGGCTTTAACTTTCGGTTGATGGTAGCCAGACCGTAAATCAATTTTTGAGAAAACTTGTGCCCCTTGTAACTGATCGAATAAGTCATCTATCCGTGGTAAGGGGTACTTATTTTAATTGTCACCTTATTCAGTTCCCTATAGTCGATACATAACCGAAGTGTTCCGTCCTTCTTTTTCACAAACAATACTGGCGCACCCCAAGGGGATACACTCGGACGGATAAATCCCTTGCCAAGCAGATCCTGTAATTGAATCTTCAACTCTTTCATTTCAGCTGGTGACATCCTATAGGGTGTCTTCGAGATAGGTTGGGTTCCAGGCGCCACTTCAATCATAAACTCGATTTCTCGGTCTATTAGTTGGCCCGACAATTCTTCGGGAAAAACATCCGGAAATTCACGGACCACTGGGATTACATCATTATCCCCATTCATCCCTTGCCCCTTTAAAACGCTACATAGATACCCCTGACAGCCTTTTCGTATTAAGTTGCAAGCCTTCACGGTAGATATCAAATAAGGTGGCGAAATTACTTCCTGCCCTTGAACCATAGACTCTGATTGCCCCGGAGGGTAGAAATGAATTTGCTTAGTCACACAGTTTATCGTTACACCATAAGCACTTAGCCAATCCATCCCCAAAATAACATCAAAATAGGTCATATCGAGAGGCATTAAGTTAGCATACACCCGAATATCCCCAAGTTGAAGTTCACAAGCTAAGTATATAGTAGCACAAATCATAGACTCTCCCAAGGGGGAGGACACACACAACATGTAAGATAAGTTTTCTTCAATTTTATCTAAATTAGGAGCAAAGAGTTTCGACACAAAAGAGTGAGTGGAGCCAGAATCAAACAATACATGCGCAGATTGACCACAAATAGTAATTGTACCTGACACCACTGTTGCTGTATTTTGTACATCACCTGGAATCAAAGCGAACACCCTACCTTGTCTTGCAGTGTCTTTGTTATTACTCGGTTTGGCAGCCGCCTTCGCATTGGGGGTTAATGTAGATCCCGCGGAACTTGTAGCGGATCTATTGCCGCTTTGTTGAACCAATTGTGGGCAATCTCTCACCAAATGTCCCGTTTTCCCACATTTAAAACATGCTCCAGTTTTCCAGTGACAAGTTCCTCGATGTTGCCTTCCACAGTCTGGACACACCAGAGTGGAATTTTGAGTCGTAATAGTGGTGCTGAAGTTCCCTGAATTGTGCCTCTTAGCGGGTGGAGTAACGGATCCCTTCGACCATTGGTTATTTTGTCTCTTCCCTTTCCACTCGAAACTCCGGCTCTGGGCCGCAAGGTTTCCTTCTGCGATAACAGCCCTTTCTAGCACCTCAACATATGTGGGTAATTTTAGCATATTGACCCGGTCCAAAATGGCACCCCGTAAGCCCCCTTCAAATTTTCATGCCTTCTTATAGTCTGTATCTACCATATGAGGGGCAAACCGAGCTAATTCAGCAAATTAGGCCTCATATTCTGCAACAGTCTTATTTCCTTGTCTAAGAGTCTCAAATTCCGTCACCTTCTTATCTCGCATGCTTTGAGGAAAATACTTATCATAAAACAGCTCCAGAAATCTATCCCATGTTAAGTCCCGATGCACTGTTCTTGTAAGCATCCACCATCTTCGCGCCTCATCTTCAAGAGTAAAGGCGGCAAGTTGCACTTTCTGGGCTTCAGTACATGGAAATACTTCAAACAATTTCTCTATTCCCAGCACCCATGCTTCAGCTTTCATAGGTTCTATTCCTCCCTTAAACGACGGTGGCTTCATCTTTTTAAACTCTTTTGTGAGTGTGATGGTTCGGTGCTCAACATGAACATCTTGTACGGCAGGTGGAGGCACTGGTGGTGGTGGCGGTTGTTGCTGTTGTTGCCTTAGAGTCTCCGCCATGTCCATAATCATTCTTTCCATTCGGTCCAACCGTGCTGAGGTAGCCTCGTCCGACTCTTCCATCCTGGTTCTAACCATAACCTGCATAACATTCAATTATATCCGGCAAACAAAGTTCAAACTGTTAGCGTTAGCAGAGTACATTCTTCGTTGCCATCGATCTTTCATACATTTTTAGGATGCCATGCATGATGCTTAAGTCTTTTCTAGACATCCTAAGGCTCAATGGATCTGTGTGTGGGATAGCAACTCGTGCTCTGATACCACTTGTCATGCCCCTAACTTGCCCCTAAAAGTTTGGGCATGACCTGAACAGAAGAGGACACTTAACCTGATTCCATAGAGGGGCCTGCCCGGAAGCTATAAAACATAATTGACGAAAACCAGAAAGTATGACATCCATTGAGCTACTAAGTCATGCCAGGATCAAAACATTACACAGGACAAGTACATCAAAGCCAAAATACATTTAAGAGTTAGTTATTTATAGACATATACAGGACTAACCCCGAGATGGGGTATGTAACAAAATCATTAAGTACATATCAACATAAGCCAACAACAAAAGTGTGAGTCATCATCTAACGACTCCACAGAAGTAGGGTCCCGACTCCAAGCTTGGCTGTGCCTAGGCTGACAAAAGTATGACGATGCCGAGCTAAGATCGACCTCCTGGTTGATTACCTACAAAACAGACATATCATAGGGTGAGCCAAGCTCAGTGAATAATAGTACTAGTATGCTCGTAAACATATTTAATGCCGGAATCATGCAATTAGTCTGTCTCTGTACGGCTTGTTGGAACAACCTAATCGGTTTATAATTATCATAATGTGGCCCCTGGCCTAAGAACTTCACACATTTAGAAAGAGTCCTTGGGTTCACAATTTACAATTCATCGTATAAACCTTTGGTTCTGTTTAATTCATAAGCTCACAATAGTGTCATTCATATTCTACACATCGGCCCTTGGCCTCGTAATTTCATTGTTCACAAATGGCCCTTGGCCACATTGGTTCACAATTCACAATTAACCCTTGGTCACGTAGTTTCACATTAGGGCTCTTAGCCACATTGGCTCACAAATGGCTCTAAGCCACATTGGTTCGCAAATGGCTCTAGGCCACATTGATTCACAAATGGCACTAAGCCACATTGGTTCACAAATTCATAATTGCCATGATACATTCCATTAGTCACAAGCTTTCATAGAAAATGTATTCGTCTTCACAACCTTTTCAATGTCTTCATAATTTCGTATCGAATCATGTATAGCAAATATATCATCTCATGCAAATCATTTCATGCCATCACAAGTTTAATAGTAATATTCGTAACGTTAAGATATAACCTCAATATATATTACGATAATACTTTCTACAATCACAACGTCATTAATAATAAATATTGAGTAGGGATACATTGGAGTACTATTACTCACTGTGTTGTGGCGGTGCACTTCCTTTTGAGGTGTTTCCTACACACATGAACACATGAAAGATCACATTAGTCCTTTTTTTCCTTGTTAACCCAACATTCGGTTCACCTACTTTGATTAAATTAACGAACATTCAAACAACATAAATTACAGAATTGGACAACATTAGAGGACCCAACACGCAAAACGGAGCATCCCAACTTTTCTGCCTGGAGCCGCACGTGCGGCTAGGATCTCCCGCACGTGCGGCACACCTCCCGCACGTGCGGCATTGAGGCCTCGCACGTGCTTTTTTTGCAGTGTTGATGCCCAGAATTTTGCCATTTTCTCGCACGTGCGGCAGTGACTCCCGCACGTGCGGCTGAGGTTCCCGCACGTGCGGCGATTCTGCACTAAAAGGTCCGAAATTTTGCACAATTTTCTTCTTCTTATAGACATGTTTAGGCCTCAAAAATCTAGCTTTAAATTACCAATATAGAAGCTCAAAGCATGTAATTACATGTGAACAAGGATCAAATTACATCTTTCATTTGAGTAAACAAAATCAAATCATGAATCCACAACTCTAATTACTCCAATTCACAAGATCCCTACTTGTTCTCACATCACAACTCTTAGGTATATAATTATAAAAACATCTTCACATAAATTATGACAAGAAAGGGTTGTGGATGAAAATTAGACAAACATTTACATACCTTAGCCCAAATCTCAACCTTCTTGATGATCTTCTCTCTCTACCCCTTCAATTGCTAAGCTTAGAGTTATGTTTCCTTAGCTTATCAAATGCCGATGAACACTCATATATGTCCATAAAGAGAGAATGGGACAAAAATCAATCGTTTACATATCCGAAAATTGAAATTTCACAGAAGTGCTTAATATTACCTAAAAATCATGCTGGTTCCAAGTATGTGAACAATTCTGATTTATTAAGCTGCTAAGGCCCTCAATTTCTACTTTATCGTTCTAGTAATAACAGATACATTTCTTTTCTAACAGATACAATTCATTTCATAAGACATTACAACATAGTTACTTGCCCTTATTCCCTTATACAGCTTCATCTTAGTCATTTAATAGCACAGAATAAAGGACTAACATACAGCACAAGCACATATGAGGGTCGGGTCGTTACAATCTCTCTGCGACACTTTGTATTGTGATCTGATCAAAGCTTAGCCTTTTTTGTAATGCATAAGAATGTCAATTGGGTGCCTCGGTGTTGAGTTTTTTTCCTATGGGTGGAATTAAATAAAACCAGCAATTAGTTACTCCAGAACCAGAATCCACGAATATTATGATATTGCACGAGTCTTTTTTTTGAAGTTCAAAATATATATATATATATATATTTCTTCCATTTTTTTATTAATACAATCAGTTATGCTTATGAAAGGAAATGTTTGAAATTTCAATTTCATCATCAAATTTTTTTTAAAAAAAAAAAAATCATTGTCAATTAAAGAAAATTAATAACGGCCATTTGAATTTTGGATAAAAAAATGATCCTTTCAACTCACTGAGTTCGATCACTAAGTTAACATATAGGTCTATGAATATCTGAGGAATATAAATTTAGCACTCTTTCATGACAAATCTCATGGTAATTAAAAAATATATATATATATATATATGGTGTCCCATTAAAACCATAGAGTTGAACATACCATAATCATAATTAATTAATTAATTAAATGATCGAAACAATCTTAGGAAGTAACATTGCGAAGCAAGTTTGACTTCTTCATTTCATTTACAACCTTGACAGCTTATGTTGTCATCCTGTTCTTCCCGACCTCTCCTCCATGTTTCTCCCACTTCTGACAGGGCTGATTTTTGTTTATATGTTGTACTATGTCCATCTATCTTTATTCCAAGGCCTTTTTTAGATAGGGTTACTATCCAAAATAGGCTTTAGAATAAAGTTAAAAAATCAATAAACTGGCTTTTAACCTAGTTAAAAGAGACCTATATTTGATTTCTGTATTTATATAGCACAACTTCAGTAAATAATCTGAACACTCCGACCCATTAACATGTTACAGAAGAAGTTGACTTCTCTATCCTATTTACAAGCTTCACAACTCATGTTGTCATCCTCTTCTTCGCGGCCTCTCCATGTCTCCCTCACTCTGATGCTTCAAGTTTTTCCATGACAACAGAAATTTGTTTGTTGGCTAACCATATGATTGTTGATCCACATTGTGTGAATAATGGCTTTGATTCTTTCTCTGCACTCTTGGATTCTCAAGCTCTTTGAATTTGAACAAGCATTGTTCGTTGCATTTAGAAGCTTTAGGCCTTGTTTTGTTGATTGCCCACCCCTAGAGAGGAGGATCATACCGTACACATATGAGGCCTCCACGTGTCCTTTCTCTGCTGCTCTCTTCAAATGCTCTAGTCTTGATTCCATTCTCATGTGGCTGAAGTATTCAACCTATAATATTACAATTGCAGAAATTAAACACAAATGAGATGTTAAAAAAAGTATTAGATGATTTTATTTCAAATGTAAGGCTAACTACACATAATTGAATTTAATATTATGAATAAATTTCTGAACAATCTAGTTTTCTAATTTTTCTATTACATATATGAATGTTTGTTTTCTTTTCACAACTTAAAATATATAAAAAATTGGTGATTTTTAAGTTTAACAGTCAATTCAAAATACACTGACATATAACTACTTTCTATTATATAGAGATAGAGTCTAATATATTATTCAAATCATTTTTCAATATAAAAAATTATTCTAGATACTCATAATTTAATCATAACAAAGTGCCAATAATATACATGATAGCTTGACAGGACCCATAAGGCCGTAAGAAATATTTTCATTTCTTAGTATCTCACATTTTTTTTTTCCAGTAGTGTACTCTTTGATATGGTCGATGTCTCAATTGGAGTGTATCACTTGTGGGACTTATCGAAACTTGCCTCTCACATGGTCCAATCTATTTCAACATATATTCAAACCTTAGTATAGCACTTACAGATGCTAATATGTCCAAAGTCT